AACTCAGCACTGTTTATGGAAAAATAAATGAGTTCCTTGTATGGAGGCAAAGAATATCAAAGGTAGTAAACATATGTTTCATGGCTAATGAAAAGATAGGAAAATGGATGTGGTGAACTTGTTAATACCCTGGTACTTTTCCAAGCATTTCTCCTGCCCGTCTTCTTTTGCATTAATTTAAATCCTATATATCTTTTGTGGCACCAGTCAAATCTAAATCCTCTTTTAGGAAAACTTCCTCAATAACCTTTGAGTATGAGCTTTTCCTCTTTTGATTTTCTGGAATTTAAATTTAGGACCATACTCCATGACCTAGATTATATAATATTTGGGTTAGAAAAAAATGCCTTATACCTAGAAGAGTACAGGGTGTTAAATAATTCCTGTCAAAAGATGACAACTAACCGTTTTGCATTTTTCACCTATAAAAATTTTCCATTATGTGACTTGAAAATTCCTGTTTTAGACTTACGCAAAACCATACCTCATTGAATTCAGCAAATGTAATTAATGTGTTACTAATAGACAACAGTTCTCTGTGATTTTCAGTTAAGTAATGTTTCTCTTGACATCTCTCTCTGGTGATCCAGGTTAATGGAATTTGAGAATACATACAACTATTTTTTACGAAGCATTGAATATTTCTCCTCTCATGCTTCTCTCCACGTGTCAATTCTCTTTAGCACTCTGTAAAAATCAGAACTTGTATATTCGCATATCTAATTTGGGAAATGATATGGTTTTAAATATGTGCTGCTGTTGATATGTCTTATTTTGTCCTATTGCTAGATGCATGTGACAGAATCCTTGGGGGTAAAGATCTTAATGTTTCCCTTTATACTTAATTACATTGAAGATTTTAGAAAACTGTCTATGAGTTATACATGATTAGTTCATGTTGAATTGATCAACTTATTAGAAAATAATCAATAGTTTTGATTTGCCTCACCAAATGTCACGGACTTTAATAGTTTGCAGAGTATTGTTATTTTGAACACATGGCCTATCTTCAAATAATGTTAATACCCCAAATAGTAACTTGCCATAGGATTTAAATACCTTTATAAATTTTGCATTGTAACTAAAAAAAGATAGTCATACATTCAAACTGCATTAAAAGAACTTTGTAAAATAGGTATTTCAACAAAAACACCCACATTATTTTATTATTCTTAATATGCACTGATAGATCTCTAGGTCAGTTAAATCCATGGGATACATGAGGTCTTAAATGGGAGAATATGGTTTTATCTTACACAGTGGCATCTTTGAATTCAAGGAGTTCCATTTTTAGGAAGTGCTAATTAAGCAATGAAATATTTTCTTGATTTTTACATTGAGAATTGTCATTAAGGTGGCTTCAGTAATAAACCTGTTAGAGAAAAAAATGAATTTCCTTATGTAATGTGTACAGTTATTTCTATATTGCTTTCAGCCTGTATTTGCTATTTGAAGAATCAAAATATAAAAACCAAACTACACAGTACAATCATCTTGACTATGACAGTGAAAGTATATCCGTGTGTGTGACTCATATTTCATTAAAATGCATACAAATATGTTCTAGGATATATATGTATATAATCTCCATAAATGAAAACTCTATTGAAATCATGTCTTAAAATGAAGATGCTGAGTAATTTTTCATGACCACAATAATTTAAGAGTATACATTTTATTATTTGGAATTGTAACAAACACAAAGTGCACAGATTCTAATTTAATCTATTATCCATTTTTGCTAGTGTAGTGTAGCAATGATTCCTGTATTACTTTAATGTTAAATTCTTGATTAAAGTAGAATACATAATTCAATTTTCTGTTGCGACTTACTTGGAGGAAAAGTTGGACCAAAGCCAATGATTCTTAAATTTCTCTAAGTCGTTTTGAAAAGATAATCTGTTCTTCTGTAAAGCAGTCTTGAAATAGTGTCAGGAAGGGCTATTGTACCACACCAACCAATTCCTTAACAGTGATTAAAGAGAGGAAGAGAGGGGTAAGAGAGGAAGAGAGGAAAAACTATCGTTTTGCCCAAGTGCTAATTTTTCACGTCAAGGGCACACAGCTCAAAAGGTAATGTCTCACCTGGTAAGATACATAAATTGATAAAAAAAAAAAAATATTAACAGGGTCAACTGGCGTTTTTTGCTTTTTAAACTTTTTACATATTTTGTTTCTAAGCCTTTAAAATATTTTAAAAGAAATGCTTCCAGAGAGTGAACATACATAATAAAGTCTTGCATCGCTTGTATGCTTTTAAGAAGACGTTACAAATATTCATTTTTCCAGTCCTGGAGTTAAGAGAAGGGAGGAGACTCCGCAGAACTTATCTTTTTGTTCTGATTAAGTGGTATTGAAAACAACACTGCTAAGGTCTCTGGACGAGCGGCGACGGTTAGTTCAAATAGAAGCAATTGGAGGAAGATGGAACACGGTGTCTTAGGTAAGACAAATCTTTACATACAAGTGTGCATGTGTTGGAGGAAGGAAAAACAGTTTTATTTTTAAAGTAGATGTCTCTACGAGTGGTTTCTTTTTTTATTAACTTGCAAAATCTCTTGAAATTTGGATCAAAGCAGGTTACTTCTTAGCCTCTAAATCCCGCAGGTTACCCGATGTTTGTTTGTGTGGGGTTTTTTTTCCATTTTTTTTTTTTCACCCACACGAAAGAAGGGTGTTGGGTCGAGATGCTACAAAGTGAACTAAAAGAGCCAATGGCTGGGTATAGGTAGGAAAAGCAAACCCAAAACGAAAAAATGGGGATTTTAAGCGCGGATCCCGAGACATGCCTGGGTTAACCCTTTGGGCGCTGCAGCGGGGATCCCCGGTGTCTGGGGCCCGACCGACTGGAACGGAGACGAGGCGCCCCGCCCCCGTCGCGGGAGTGGGCTCTCCTCAAGGAGCGAGCGAGCTGAGAGGCACTTTTGGCGTCCGGCGCGTGCGTCACGGCCCGGGACGGGCAGCGAGTCCGGTACGAAGTGGAGCAGAGACGCGGCGAGGAGCCGCTCAAATGTCCGCTGGCGCGGGGTCAGCCTCAACCTGTCCTCGCCAGGAGCGCTCGCCCTCGCCCACCCGCCGGCCCAGCTCCCGGCTTCTAGAGGGGCGCAGGCCTGAGGGTGGTTCGGGCGGGGCCCCAGGTGAAGAGTGCCCGCGCCCGCCTGCGGCAGTCCTCGCCGTCCTGCCTCCACACTCGCGGCAGCCTACCGGCCCCGCGCCCAAACGGCAGCTGTGAGTGACTGACGGAGTCACCGCCCCTTGCGCTCCAGCCACCCCCTCCTCCCCCGCCGCCCCTCCCCCGCCTCGATACGTCATGGAAACACGGACGTCAGAGCTTCTCAGCCAATCGCAGGCAGCAGCAAGAGGAAAGGCGAGAGCGGGAGGGGGCGGGGGCAGCGGCCGACCGAGGTTCTCGGGGAAGGAAGAGAGGGAGGGGCGTGTGGAGGCGCTTGTCCCCCGCCCCTCACTCCGGACACCCTTTCCCGACCGCGCGGCAAGTTCTAATCGTCGGGCGCGCGCTC